TTTCTTTTTCTTTCTCCTTTTTCTCTCTTTTTTTTCCTTTTTTTTTTTCTTTTTTTTTTTTTTTATTCAACTTAATACTTTTTTTTTTTTTTTTTTTTTTTAAAAAAAAAAAAGAAAAAAAAAAAAGTCCTTAAATGTAAGCGCGTCAATGAGCTCGTTTTTTTTTTTCATGAGAAAAAAAAAAATAGCTGTGATAGGTTTCTAAAATTTATTTTTTATACACGATGGCTCAAAATAGTTTATATATACAGCGACAAAACAAAACAAAAAAAAACAAATTAGTTTTCTAAAAAAAACGAAAAAAAACAAAAAATTATAATAAAACTATGTATAAAAGTGGTTTAAAAATGTTTTTAAATGAACATCAAATATTGGCCTTCGCCAGAGTAACTTGTAAAAGAAAACTGTTGATTGTGTATTTACTACACCATTTTAATGTTAACGAGTTCACAATGATATGTTATAATTTGACAGGAAGAAAAGTCATTCTAGGTTTCAATTCATTTATATCCTTTTAAATAGGGAGATACTTAACTATAACCATTCTCGAAACATTCTGTTCTCCAATTAGGATGTTGAAAGAAATTCTCAATGATAATACTATAATATCATAACTGATAAGAAATTAAATGTTAACTGTTTGGAACTATTTATACGTATATCTGATGTATTTGATAGTCGGTTTTGATAATTAAAGAAGACTTTAATTAAAGCAATGTTTCATGTTTAGCAAAATATCATTATTCATTATCGTAAGTCATACTCTTCGAGTATTTGATTTTAATAAAAATTTTTCAAAATCAAGTAACTTAAACACATTATTTTAATATCATTTGAATCTTCTTAATGAGACGATTCAAATAATTAATTAAAATTTTAAGTATTTCAATTACTTGGTTTTAAGATATTTATATTAAAAGTAAATCTTCAAAAAGCATGACTTACAGGCTTTTCCTTTGCATCACTCACAGTATTTAATAATAAATGAAATCAGATCAATTATCAGATACTAAAAGATGTGACGCGTACATAAGTATCTTCTGAAATATGTGATGTAGCTCCTGTTTCATGTGATTAATTGTAAGTTGCTTTTTTTAAAATGAAATTTTTTTCGCGATTTTACCAATTGAATTTGAATTCGCTTATTCCAGTATTCTCTTAATCATGTCGCGATCTTTACGTTTAGACGCATATCTTATTTCTAAAAAAATCGATGTTACACGAGATTTTAAAATAAATAACAACATCATCGAAGAAGGATTCTCGTCCCGACGTTGGACCTTCTTCTTTTATCGAACATCGATAACTTTAACATCACATTTCACGACTTCATCTCAAAATAAAAATCAAAACACTATCTTTAGTTCATCATTTAATACGTCTAGAACAACCGATAATTATCTTTGTCAAAAAAGTATTCCGAGATGGAACATGATAATGACGAATTTCTTTATCAAATTGACGAAAAAATCCTTTGTTGCCATGGAGCTGCTATATATGAAGCCAAGGTTTTATTTCATTTACAAGATGATGTTTTATTGGATACTTTGTTTTTCAAAGTTATACAAGTTTGTTTATTTGTTTATTCATTTATTTATTTATTTATTTTTATCTTAATAGATTTTAAAAACTCATTATTCCAAAGAAAAAGGTCCATGTTATCTTGTACATTATATAGGGTGGAAAAATACGTAGGTTTTATTTACAAATATTCATTTTTATTATTTTTTTCTTATTATCTGATTTTGAAAAATTTCGATTAGTATTTTTTTAATTGAGATCAAGAACCATCCGTCAGTCAGATTAAAAAAAATATATCTATTTCTTATTCTGTTTCGTTTTTAAAGCTGGGATGAATGGGTTCCTCAGTGCCGCGTTTTAAAATATAATGAAGAAAATCTAAACAAGCAACAGCAGATTATGAATTCCCTGGAAAAGAAGAATAAACCTGCAGATTCTGCAGTTAGAAAAAAAGCTGGAGTCGTTGAAAAAGGAAAAAAAAGGAAGAGAGAGCTTTCTGTGAAGAAAGTAAGACTTATTTTACTTATTTTATTCCTACTGTATAAAATTTTATATAAGAGGTTGGCTTACTGATGTTTCTAATGAATATAATGAATTTATTACTTTGAATGTGTTTTAATTTACAGACGGATGATAACGTTAAAAAGTTAAAAATCATAATTGATTTGCCTGAAACACTCAGAGCTTATATGGTCCATGACTGTAACAATATAAAGTCACAAATGGTATGAATATTCGTTATTCACGTTAACTAATTATTTGAAATCTTTACTTTTTTGTTATTAATGATAATTCTTTAACATTCAATATAGTTTGTACCACTGCCACGAAAACCTACTGTTTCTGATATTATAAGTGACTACCGGGCATGGAGGTGTGAGAAATATGGCAATAAAGACAGCTGGTAATAATACTATAATGGCTTTCATTGATGCTTTTAAATTATCCTTTAATAATAATTATATTATTATTATTATTATTATTATTATTATTATTATTATTATTATTATTTTGAAATAATAATAGTCATGCGGAAGAAATTATTATAGGTGTCCATTTTTATTTTAACAGATGTTTGGGTACTCGACTTTTGTATCAATTGGAGAGACATCAATATAAAGAAATGCGTGATAAGTTTAAACATTTGGATAATTCTCAAATTTATGGAGCTGAACATTTATTAAGATTGTTTGGCAAGTGAGACAATTTTAATTGATATTATCTACTCTATTTTAATAATCTTGAAATAATATTAAATTTCAATTCCTTTTTTAATATAGTGGCCTTTCCAAAATTGGTATCAAGTATAAAAGATGTAACTCTTAGCCAGGAGACATTGAATGTTTTGAAAGAACATTTGAATGATTTACTAGTGTATCTTGAATTTTCTTCGGTTTATATTTGTTTTGTCAATGCCTATGAAGTGTCTAATACTAAATAGAATTTATTGTTTTATTTCTATTTAGCTTTTTAAATGAACATCGGGACAAGTATTTTATTAATGAATACCAAAAAAAATCTAGACCGTGAGTATTCATCAAGATTTATTAAATATTAAAGTCATGATTCCTGGTAAGAAGAGACATCAATCCATATATAAAGAATTGCATGCATAAGATTTCTATAAGATGATAATATGGAGGTACGACACGTTATCTCATTTTATATGAGAGAATATTTCTTCCAAAAAAATATATATATATTTTTCATTGCACAACTAAGTCTCTTTATATAATTGATTCCTAAATCAATAAACAAATTATTAAATATCAATTAACATTCGTGAATTGATTTTAGAAGATATTTAACATGTAAAATAATTTTAGATCAAAAATGTAAATAGATAGTGGTTGCATCGGGTAGGTTTTGCTTTTATGGTAGCCTGAAGTTTATAGAGTAATCGGGTAGTTTATGAATATATATTTAGATAGAAAATTTCTTAACGAGCACAATCTCCAGATATAATTATAATTATATTAGCTTTGTATATAGTATATTTAACTTTACACTGTATATATACATGTTATTATTAAATATATACTGTATATACAATTATGTATATTGTATATGTATAATTATACAGTAGGATTTAAAGTTTGACTAATAGCTACACAACGTCTACAAACATTCTAATTAATTATTTTTGATTTAGAATATATATATATAATAGTATGGTTAAATTACTGCAATAAAAGTTTAAAAGGTAGAGCTAAAATGAATTGCGTAATGATTAAGTCAACAACATCTCATGGTCTTATGATCAGTGAATGGGATAGTTGTAACATAATTGAGTAACAGTAATGTAAAAATCGTTTAATTTGATACCTCATTCAGATGAATGTGATCTTGCGTGACTTGCGTAAAATGGCATCATTATCTCGCGCGAGATAAATTGGTCCATTGAAAAACTTATAATGATCACTGATTTGGTAAAATTTTTAGTAAGATAATTAAGTGAATTGCCGTCGACACAATAACACAAGGATACCTTTAAACTATAAGAGCACGAATGACTTGTCATTTCAAGACCCAAATTAGTGATTGGACCCAGGTGGGCGGGTGACCCGGGATGAGTTTTGGCAACCCAGGTTGGGGCAGGTGGGTCAACCTGTGTGTAATCCGTGGATTATCCATGGGTCAACCTATTAATTGTCTAATCCGGTCAAAAATTGAATGTTATTACAACCACTATCATGATTCTGGATACCTGATAAAATTATTCTTTAGCCAGTTCAATTACCGTATTTTTATGGAATAAAGTATCCTTCGTGCCAAATATTGTAGATCTCCCCCTTGAATGCTTGTTGTATACGAGCGTGAAGTGTATTAATTGTGATATTTAATATTTTTATGTATAGCTAGAATATGTATGCATAAATAGCTTTTGCTGTTTAAATTGAATTCAAACGCCTTTAATCTTAAAATTGAATATGCACTAAATGATCTAGTATTAACTTTTAGTTCAAAGTTAAAATTTCATTTCAACTTATATGTATTTAGAATCAACTTATGTTGATTCTAAATTTAGCAAAATACACGTTCTGCAGATAAATTTTACGTATTATTTTTAATATCGACACATTTTTAACCTTATTAAATTTTCATTTGAATACTTGACCAACCTCTTTGGTGCGTTTAGTTTGTACAAAAATTTACCAATAATCTTGACAAGAAATGGATCCGGATATAAACTAATGCTAGCCGGGTCTCTCGAAGAGTTGACCCGTGGGGCACCCAGGTGGTTAAGAGGCAACTTCTACTCTGTTCACCCGCGGGTGACCCGTGTGGCATTTTTTAGACAGGTCCAATCACTATTGCCTTCTTTTATTATATATATTTGTTATATTCTTTATTCCTATCTATCTTCATTTTTCTCTTTTTTTTATAAAAAATTATTATCAAATTTGATAATATTAACAAGGCCTTCTATAGTGCAGAATACAGTATCTAGATACTGTATACTGTATTATAAAATAATTATTTGCAATAAAAGTCTTTTAAAAAATAATTTTTAAAAAAAAAACTTTTTATAATTATACTGTATTCTTTAAAATCTAAAAAAATATTATAGTTTTTAAAAATTTTAGTACTAGAAAAAAATTTATAAAAAATTTAACTAATTATCTTTATTTTTATAATAATTTGACAAAATTTTTAGCACTTGTAATATCTTTAGATGTTTTGCATTATAGTAACTTTAGTTACTACAGTAGTATAACAAATTATATCTAAGCACTTTTAAAAGCAGCTAGATAATAAATTTTGAATAAAACTTAACAAATATATTAAATTTATAGAATTATTATAAAACGCACCTATGTTGTTTTACACCTATGTATAATTTCTTCTAATAAAATTTAGGGTTAGGGTTAGAAATTAGAGAATTATTGTTTTTTTTATATAATATATATATAGCTACTATAAGGGCCCGATAGGGCCCGATCTCAGTTCTCGTGAGGTTTTTGGGGGTCCTGAACATTTTTACTTAGAGGACCCGATCCCGTTTACTTAGTACGTTTTTGAGAAACGAGACCATAGGTGTAAAACACCATAGGTGCGTTTTAGTAAAAGTCAATTTATATACTATATATATATATATATATATATGTATATACAGTATATATATACAGTATATATAAAAATTAAATACAGTATATTAATTATTTAATAATTATAATACAAAATTTAATTATATTAATTTAAACAAGTATAAAAAAAAGTTATTAATCTATATATATACTGTATTTGTTTAAAATAAACTTTTTTTTATAAATATTTACTACTTTATTTTATTTTATTATGTAATTTAAATAATTATAAAAAAATTTGTTAATTTAAAATGTTTAAAATAAGCTACTTAAGCTTATAAATATTTACTATCTAATTTTATTTGTTTCTTCAACTTATTCTTAGCAAGAACTTTATTTAATTATCTTTAGGCTAGTATATAAGAAAAGAAGTATAATATACAGTGTATCACATTGGTTTATACTAATGTTGTAGAATTAATTAGATCTCGACACATTATTTGTAATAAGTTGAAATACTGTATATCTAAATAAAGCTTCTACTAAGGCATTTAATTTAGTGCGAGTATAAAAAAAATTTAAAGATAATTTATTAATATAAGTGTTTACAATAAGCTATTCGGATTTTGAATATTTTAATATTTTATTTAGAGCGTGACTATGAAAACTTGGTTTCAATTTGATAGAACTACTATCATTAATGTTGGAGTTAGGTTTGTTTATAGAATATGATTTAGTTACAAACATTTTTGTATATAGGTGATGATAAAACTGCTCAGATTAAATAAAATAAAATTAGATAATAAATATTCATAAATATGAACAGTTTATTTTAATTAATAAATGATTTATGCTTACATTCTAAAATAAATGCAACTTGAGAGTCATATGCTAGTAAAAAAAATTTAAAGCTTCATTCCCGGGGCAACACTTGGGTCTGAGAACTAGTAATAACTACAGTGTTTTGTTATTTACTATATTAGTGACTATATAGAGTTTATTTATTATTTATATCGCCTCTTTATGTAATCACATCATTTAAGATGTCCTTGTACATGAAGATCATATAACAAAATTTTAACGAATATCTGATTAAGTTTGGCAGAACATCATAAAACAAAATTTAAAGTTTACAATTTATTGCTATCTGCAATATATTATATGTATAGTCGTTATAAGTATTCGATCAGTCGACTTTGAAAAGATCGATCGCTAAGCTGAAAATTAGATTTGGCCGATTTGCAAAAAAAAAAAAAAATCGACCGGCTAAGGTTTGACCGATTTTTTTTTCATTATAGGCTAGGGTCGTTAAGTTTAGTGAGCCCTACGAGACTCAGCGATAATGTTGCTAAGTTCTTCAACCTTTTTTTTTGCGCGAGTAAAGGTTCCCAACTATCAAAAAGAATAAATCATAAATACAATGATCAATCATTAGTGATTCAACAAGATAAATGAACATAAAACAAAATACAAACTCTCTTTTTAGCCAATTTTCTTGCGCGCTTATCCTTTGAATTTTTCAACAATTCCATTACACGTTTTTCATAAGGAGCATAACCAGCAACCTCACGAATTACATCGCGGACAAATTTTGTCCGATTGCTAACGACCTGTTTGAATTAAAGGTGTTAAGAATTGAACCATCAAAAATATTTCTTTAATAACGATCTTTTGCTCTTGAAAGGCATACCCCCTTCTTACGAGAAGGCTTTGGTCGCAGTTCTCGTGGTGTTACTTTATGACCTCTATTTATGCCTACGGTAATGCCAGACTTCTTCTCTTTTGCCACCATTTTCGAGAAAGGTTAAGCAAAAATTTTTTTTTTTGATAATTCTGATTTACGGCTTTTATTGGTTAATCATGATCACGAGAAATTACATTTCGTCTAAGGTGCTAATTTAAATTTTTTGTGATAATCTTTTAGATACAATATATACACGTACAAATGGTTCTTCAAGCATCAAATTTAAACAATGTCAAAATCTATACTGTTTCCGGCTCGGGTTCCCGCGCAATACCAGACTGGTTAGAGAGAAAAAAGAAAAAAATTTTAAAAAATGATCCAGGTTTAGTGAGTTGATTTAATTTGCGTCTTAATGTTCTATAATAATGTCTCAAGTGTTCACGTTATTTTCTTTACTGTTAGATTGGCGTTCAAGAGTCGAACTGATTCAAGATTTCGAGTTTCCAGAGGCTTCTATTCGAGTAAAAACCACTAGAGATGGACGTTTTGTAATGGCCACAGGTGCACAAACATTAATACAAATCACTTTCACCCAAGAAAAATAGTTAATTTCTAACAATATTTATTAATGAATCTACTCATAGGCGTTTATAAACCTCAAATTCGAGTATTCGAATACGCCGAAATGTCGATGAAATTTGATCGTCATACAGACTCAGAAAACATCAATTTTGTGGTAGGTGCATTTACTTTCCTTGAGATTGATATCCTAACATTTATTAAAATAATTTTATTATCATAATAATATACATAGACATTATCAGACGATTGGACAAAATCGGTGTTACTACAAAATGACAGAACGATTGAATTCCATACACAAGGTGGTATATATTATAAAACAAGAATACCAAAGGTAAACGTTTAAAATCAAGACATCAGCAATTATATTTTTTCTGTATTTAAAGTTTTTTTTTTTTTTTTAATTATATAGTTTGGCAGGGACTTGGCTTATCATTATCCCACATGCGATCTTTTAATTACTGCTGCATCATATGAAGTATATCGGCTAAATTTAAATCAAGGTCGATTTTTAAACCCTATATCTACTGATGCCACATCCGGTGTCAATGTTTGTGTAATAAATCCGGCTCATCAACTTTTTGGGTTTGGAACGCAAGATGGCGTCGTAGAATTTTGGGATCCTCGATCACGGTCGCGTGTTGGATTACTATCGCCTTCTTTTCCTATAGACGAATCTAATGTCCAAGAATTTCAAATTACCGCGATGTCATATAGAAATGATGGACTTTCCTTGGCAGTAGGAACTTCAACAGGCCATATATTGCTATATGATTTAAGAAATTCATCACCATGGCTTGTTAAAGATCATCAATATGGATATCCGATAAAAAATATAAACTGGTATGATAATACCACAGGTGACGGAGGTCGAGGAAAAGTTATTAGCGCTGACAGCAAAATAATGAAGATATGGGATCGAGAAAACGTAAGTATAAACTATAGTTACTTAATAATTTGAGCTCCATACTTAACAATTTATGCCAAATTTAAAATAAGGGTGCTAATTTTACCTCAGTGGAGCCTAACACGGATATCAACGATGTGTGTATTGTACCCGATTCAGGATTGATTTTTATTGCCAACGAGGGTATACAAATTGGTGCATATTACATACCTTCATTGGGCCCTGCACCAAGATGGTGTTCGTTTTTGGATAACTTAACAGTAAATATTCTTTAGTAAGGTTCATTTTACCTCATGATTACACTCAGTAAACATGCCTTTTTACATAGGAAGAAATGGAAGAAAATCCACAACCAAATATTTATGATGATTATAAGTTTGTTACAAGGAAAGAATTGTCAAGGTCAGGAATCTATTGGTTCATTTACTCATTTTGTTGTATTCAAGTGTTTCTATACACTGAAGATTTTATTTTATTGTTTTGCAGTCTTGGTATGGATCATTTGATTGGAACCAACGTCATGAAACCGTATATGCATGGATTTTTCGTTGATTTGCGGTTATACGAACAAGTGCGTAAATATTCACATTTTCTTAATTTACAAGATAAAGTCTAAACATTCAAAATAATATAGGCAAAACTTATATCGAATCCATTCGCTTATGCGGAATATCGAGAAAGAGTTATTAAAGAGAAATTAGAAGCGAAGCGCGAATCACGTATACGCGTTACTAAAAAGTTGCCTAAAGTTAACAAGGAGTTAGCAAGTCGATTACTACATTCATCAGATAAAAAGAAAAAAGGAAGCCAGGTTTGTAAAGTTTCTTGCAATTATTATTCGAGCCATTTATCACGTAATTTTACCATAAATACGGGAGTATCACATCAGTTGGACAGACGAAAGATCATATATACACGTGTCACATCATATATAGACAAGGGTTAGCATTACATACAGTATTTCTCACAATAATATAGTAATATCCACATAAAATACCTTTATCTACCCATAAATCGCCGGATTTGTGAATAATACTCAGTATTATTCAGTTTAAAAATTGATTTTGGGTACTGTATGCGGTGCTAAACAGTACTAAATAGAAAATATTACGTGACAAATGGCATGTCTCTAGCTGTCGCTTTTATTAAATATTTCTTCTGCTAAATAATAGGGAATGACAAATATTCTCCAAGACGAAAGATTTACCGAGCTATTCACCAACCCAGAATATGAAGTTGACAAGGATTCTATAGCATACCAATTGACGCATCCTAGTGGTTTCACAGTACGCGTTTTGTTTGACTATTTAACTTAGTGCATCACAAACATTATTCCTCTTAATTTTTGACCAATCATAATTCAAGATCAGGTGTAAAATGATAGTAAAACAGCCTATTTTGCTTTCTAAAACGTCTGATCTTGAAATCGGATTAGTCAAATTACAGGAGTGGAACAATTTTTGTGAATGAATTAAGAGTTTGTGATCAGTGTGAATCTAATCATTTAATGTTAAATTAAAAAATTCCTTCTAGGAAAAGGCTACAAGAAAAGAGCATGACGATGAAGATGAAGATGATGACAATGATAATGGGAGCAATAAGTCTGATGATGGACAAAGCGATGAAACCACGCGATCCGAATTTGAAACTGATAGTGACGATGGTACTATGTTATTTTCCGAAAAATATAGCCGTTCTCAATATAATCACACAATCAGGCACATAGCACCCGCTGTAGTCACACTTGTTATTGTCTATAGTCCCGTTAATTTCTTTGATTATAGCTGTTGGTCACGATCCTTATTAAATCCCGCAATACGAACGTAAAATACCATATCCAGAAATTCTACGGACAGAGCTTAGGGACAGAGAGAATCATGTGATTGGTTAGTTAGTAGATGGATTTAGCTATTGTATGTGAATAACATAGTTACACATGGGTTCATATTCCGTGCCGAAGGCACGGGATTTTGATATGGAACTGGGTTATTCAATTACCCATACAATAACTATCTTACTGCACGGTGTCTGACGTAGCAATCCCGTGTCAACAATGAGTAAATTAAAAAAGCATTGGTTGTCACATAAGACCCGTGCAATATCACGTATTATGCTCTGTCCTAAGCTCTGTTTGCAGAATTTTCGTAAAATACCTGACCGGATCATGTGACTATAACGGGAGAGCCGTAATTTTCTTTTGTGCACATATAGCGTCTTTTAAAATTAATAATTTATCTCAAACATGATCTATGTGATTATATGGGTGTTTGATTGTACTGTATATAGGGGTATCAATAGTAATGGAACAAATTATTTTTAGTAACTTTAATATTTAAACTAAAATATCTCAATAACTACCAAGCCAAATTTTTTCATTTAATTCTATAACTATATAAAATTAAAACAAAAAATTCTTTCAAATTTGGTTTGGTAGTTGTTGAGATATTTAACTTAAAATTTGAAAAACTTGGAAAAAATTTGTATCATTTTTATTGACTTCCCCATATGTATAATATAATAATTGTTTAGAACATCTATCCAATGAATTCAATGAATTCGATAAAGAATCTTTTTGGCCAGTTTGATCAGAAGACCAATCAGATTCTTTGTTGCATCCATTGACGGAACGCCCTTAATCAATTTATTAATATTCTATCTATATAATTTATTTTTCTAAGATCTTATATCTCAAATATACAAGAAAAAAGGATTAAAATCTGCAAAAAAGATGAAAAAGATTGATGAAGATCCTATTCGTTCCGTCAGACTAACACAATCAAATCGCCAAGAAAAGCGTCACCCAAAAATGGTTGCGATGAAAGTATGTTGTTTAATCGTATGTTGTGTTAAATTGCTTTAACATCCACTAATATATATATAATATACCTAACCTAATTCTACAGACTAGACGCATATCGCACGCCGATGAGCCATTTATAAACAGGAATCAAACTACAATGGGCAATATGGAAATGTCATTTATGATTAATAATAAACCGAGAGAGAATAAAAAGTCTATTGACAAAGATTCCCATAGGACTCGATTGCGCAATAGGAGGCCAGCTAGCAAGAACGTTTTCAGAGGGCTTTGATTGATACTACACTGTACAATGTACTAGACCAGATGTTTTTGCACCTATTGTGTCTAGCTTTGGCTAGACATTATTATTCCCCGTTCTAAATTTTCGTCGGTTGACTTAGAGACTTTCCTTACTAAGTTCCGAACTGTCCCGCGATAATGCTGGGTCAGAATTTTGCCACATGACGTTTCAACTAATAAAATTATCATGCATATATGTTTGCATTATTAGACAATAGCACAATTATTGTCGTTAGGTAAAATTACGTATTACAAACATAACGTACAGCTTGTTTTATTTGTGCACACGCTTGTATCACAAAAAACTGGTAAATTAAAGTCGTAAACCGAGCCAGGATCCTTTTTTGGGTTTATTCATATGAATATCCCCGCAGTAACATTTGTGACCTGATGACCTGCCGGCAACAAATATTTACCACAGGCCAATCCAGCTGAGGTTTTTTTTTTTTTTCAGGCCTCCATACGCAAATGGCACCCACAAAAACTCAAGATACTGAGTTAGAACGCCATGTTGATGGCAAAAATCTTTCGGGGATTGCAAATGTGCCAGGACTTAACATTGCGGCGGCGAAAACCACAGTTGCTGTTACGAACGTACTCCCCAAGGTGGACAATCATGTAAGTAACTCGGTTGTAGAAAATAGATGTGACAGCTTTTCAGGTACTGTACAAGTTTGTGTATCATGCACTAATTGGCAAATTTTTTAGTGGCTGGTGATAGATATGCTAGATTTACAATAAAGCCCACAAAATATTTGTCTTTTACAATACAAAAAACAAAAAAAATAAAAAATAGTGAATAGATTGGGTTGTTATTTATAAATATGTGCCAAATGGTGATTTCTTAAATTAATAATCTTCCGTTCGAACGAATCGCATCTATTTATTCATAATCATGCAAAATAGGAATGACAATTCATCAGGCTGCTCAACAAGGAAATTTGCATATAGCAAAAAATTTGATCGAACAAGGTCGAGTTAAGGCAACAGACCGAGACTCTCAGAACGCTACCCCTTTGCATTGGGCAGCTATTAATAATCATGTAATTATGGCGAAATATTTAATCGATAATGGAGCTGAAGTAGATGCTCTTGGTGGGGAGTTGGATGCTACTCCGTTACATTGGGCAGCAAGGTGTGCATGTAAATCTATTTTACTTATTTGCCTTGCGATATCAAAAAGAAGATCAAATATATGTGTTTTTCCCTTAAAATATCTAGGAGTGGCCATCTATCTATGGTAACTCTTTTAGTTAACCACGGAGCTGATCCTAATATTCGAGATTCTCAAGGATTTAATGGATTGCATATTGCCACACATTCTTCTACCACTATGCTAGTACTATATCTTTTATATCATGATATGGACATTGATACCCCAGATGTTTTACAACATACACCTTTGATGTGGGCTGCTTACCAAGGAGATGCATCAACTGTAGATTTATTAATTCGATTGGGTGCATCCTTATCTAAAACTGATGCTGCACAATTTACTCCCTTACATTGGGCAATGATTAAAGGAAATCAATTGTGCATAAGGAAGCTAATAGAAGCCGGTGCGAATATAAATGCAAAAGAGGAAAATGGGAAGACTCCTTCAGATATTGCACGAGAAATGAAGGCTGATAGGATATGGGAAAGGGCGTTACATGAATCAGGCATAAGAGGTGATAGGAAGATGAGAATTTATATGTTTAACAAGGTATTTATTTTGACTATATCTTTATTTTTCGATTTTTTTTTTTTAATGAAAATATTACTATTCATTAAATTATTTGTACATGATTTCGTTCTAATGTTTACCTAACGTTTGCCACACTTAAACAGTGGACTACTCTTATCGTTATATATTTCCTTCCGTTTCTTCTTCTATTTGGAGTATTTAATACTTTGGTTCATTATCCCTGGTTCATTGGATTACCTATGTCCATACTGGAATTTGTAGTATGTTACGTATTAATAGTAAAATTTCTCATAAGGACACAAATACCAGATGCTTTGTTGCGAACACCTTATTTTACAAGTTTATTCCAAGCAAGCGCTTTTTGGGTTGGTTTCACGTGGATTTACAAATTATTATTTGGTATTTAAATATATTTCACAGCATTATTGTTATTTTATTGTATGTCATATTCTGTGCCAGGTTATATTTGTTATTGAAAAAATTGATAATAATTAATGATAAAATAGATTTTACATTATTATTGGTGATATAGCCTAGCACAAAATGACTCGCGTTTTTCTAGATATTTATCGTTACTAATCATGTATTCTATTAATAATAGTAACATCGTATTTACTTGTGCCAAATGTAATATTTGTCACATCATTTGTTTTATCCATGTATTGGTTTTATACGGCATTATTCGTCAATCCGGGATTTATTCAAAAAAAATGCTCTCGTGAAGAACAAAAACAGGTATATTAATTTGAAATAGTTAAATTTTTTATTATTGCTATATACCTTTCAATTACTCATTTGTTTGCTTACTTTAGTTGATTATGGACCTTGCGAATCAAGGAATGTTGGATTCAAAGCATCTGTGCATAACATGCTTGGTTAGTGCTTATTGAACTTTACAATGCTCAGTCAGAGGTTCGTTATTAAAATACTTAATTTCAATTTAGATCAAAAAACCTCTCAGGTCAAAGCATTGTAAAATTTGTAATAGATGTGTCGCTCGCTTTGATCAGTACGTTCTTATTTTTTGTGAATGACTAAGAATTATGACGGTAGAGTTTAACACGAAATTCTGAATATTTTAGTCACTGTCCGTGGATACACAATTGTATTGGAGTGAAGAATCACCGCGCATTTATGGTGTATCTTGCGATGATGATCATTGGGATTTTAAGTTTTGAATATATCTGTTATGAATGTACGATTATCTTTATTTATTTTTTTTTTGATTATGAGGAAAATATTTTGAAGGTTCCATTTATTAATTTTATTAAATTAATTTTATATTCTATTTAAAAATAATAGATTTTACAACTTCCACGCCTGAATACATACCAATTCCATCAAACCCATGTTTTTTGAATGATACGCTATGTGGAATTTTCCAATATGATATGTGGACTGCTTCCATAGCTATTTGGCTTGGACTACATCTTATCTGGATAATAGGATTAATATGCATGCAATTCTATCAGATTGCTAAAGCAAAAACTACTAATGAAATGGCCAATTTTCATCGATATTCTTATTTTGGGAATCGAGCAAGTATAAATGTTCGAGAGCAAATTATGGCAACCTTGGTAGCTGGACCTGGCGCAGCTGGAACCGCACAAGCTGGTGATAATGGCGATGATGATATGGATGAAATAGATGAAAGTGTGGATGATAGTAGAGATCGTAGGAATAGACGACATAGTAATCTCGATTCTCAGAATTCATTAATGTTGTTTAGTGGAAGAGAATCAATGACATCACGTCGAAAACATCATCTTAATGGTCATGCAAATGAAAATCCTTTTGATTTTGGATGTTGGAATAATTGTGTGGATTTCTGGTCGCAAGGACAAGCTGGAATGATGCAAAAAGTAGATTGGTATGAACTTTACGATGTTCCACTTGAAAGGTATGGTAATTTAAAACCAAGAAGTGGTTATGTGGCTATAAGGGAAGATGATACTGTTTAAATATATATATATAATAGCGTCTAGAATGTATTTATACTAAGGACTAGTATTAGGGATTTTTTTCAAGGACGAATGTTATTAAAAAAAAAAAAAAAAAAGAGAAAAAAAAATATATATTAAAGCTGTATAATAATTTACAAACATTATTTTCGTAAATATAATAAAAATTGGTTTATAGGAGGTTTATTTTAGATTGAAGATTATATATCAAACTGTTTAGTGGCAATTATAATTTTTTCTTTAATAAAAATTTTTTTTTATGTCAAAATTGTTTATTGTAATTTTTCAAGGCTGTTTTAAGAGTGAATTACAAGCAAAATGTTTATCGTTATAAAGTACGAACCGAGCTACCGTTGCAACAAAAATTTAATTGGTAAAATCATTAAGAGGTGAAGCCAGTGAAACTGAAGTTGAAGCTTCGACAGATTTTGATTAAAAAATTTTATTATTAGGTTTTTAGGAGGTGTAGAGAAGATTATAAAAAATAAAAAGAGTACGCTCAAGCATTTAATTCTTTAAATGTCGTCATTGATTGTGATCCGAAGCGTAGCGAGAACTTACTATGGAGACGCGAATGTCATGGATTCCGCTCACGTGATATTGAGCCAATTAGCGTCTAAAATATATGCGTCTAAAAACCTATAAACGGATCAACTCATCGAGACGTAAAAAAAATTATTATCATATATAGCTTCGGACACTAACAGCACCTGTTTTCCTAGTTTAATTAATTGGTTGAGATGCAATACCCTTAATCAAAAATCAGCTAAAAAAATCATCCAGTAAATTAAGTGTTTCAGAAATTATGAAAATCAGCCGTAAAGTGTAATGGCGAAAATGATAAAAAAATTCATCAATCAGTTTTGGCAATATTTTTGCCATTCATGTATAACTCTAGAGCATCAATTACCAAAATTTCAATCAAACAAAAATGGATTATTTATTCGGATTATTTTCCAAATTGGAATTTCATAGTATGCAAATTGAGATTTTTTTTCATTTACTATCATCACACAAATTTGAGCGCTATCGCTATTTCGCTAGCTTCGAAGCTCTTGCTAGCGCTAACGCTAATATAGATATCTTACAATCGGAAATTCGGAAATCCAAATAACACCAATTATTTCTAAGCGCTAACTAAATAGATCACGTGCTGGCGTCCGAGCATAGTGATCAAAGCATGCATAGACTGTAGGTCCTCCGGAAAATTAAGCATTTTTGATGAATATTTGAAATTTTTAAAAACAAAACTTAGCAAATATTATTTAATATAGATTTTGAGTTATATAATGTAGAGGAGGTATTTTGGTGGTTAATATTTATCAAAATTCACTGATAGTAAAACTATATTAAAAAATATTAAAATTACAAATTTTATTGTAATACAGTATAATATACTGTGTTCCTTTATCTATTTAATGCCAATAAATGATGTAGGTTTTATCTTTCGACAAATAGATCTCTTATAGTTACGTTATATAACACAACATCTGATACTTGGACAAGTTTGGTGCATCTAGGATAGATACAACTTTTATTTTATCTTAACAGTATCAACTAATAATATAATATCTTGATTAGAGTATATCCTCTTGTTCGTATGTGGTATTAATTATGTCATTTTTAACAATTTTAACATATATTTAAGTACAAAGGTTTCTTTATTCCATTTGGCTACAATTCTTGGTGATTTATGGATTTTAGATATTAATATGCATCAATGGTCAACTCTTTATAGTCACACTGCGACATTATTGGCTATTATATAATTGTTGCTTTTAGTAAAAAAATTTATTTATTTTGTGTTTATCTACACAGAATACTTTATTTAAAACTCATTTATTTAATAGGCCAATTTTCAAAGTTGAGTTTTTCATCAAGAATATTCATGTTAAATGTAAGCCAAGAAGATTCCTATAAATGAGGTTACTGAATTTACTCCAAATACTACAATTCCAAGTAAAACATCCGTTGCAACTCCAAGTAAAAATTGCTACAATTACAAGTCATACTACAGTTCAAAGTAGTACAGACTCTAAAAACTTTAGTTTAATATTGGAACAGTCGTTGGTGGCGCCATTGCTTTAATAATTATAAGTTATTGTCATTATTTTAACTCTAAGATTTATTGATCGATAATTTTTATAAATATAAATAGTTATATTTCAGAATTTATTCTAAATGTCATAATTAACCTTTTATTTAATTCTATTGCCCACGGCAGCAGTATTACTTTGATCAACCTCTTAAAGTTCATAAAAAATAAAATAGGTAATTTACAACATTTGGTTAAGCTATAAAAAATAAATGTGTACTTTATTTTAATAAATAATAAAAAAATGATTTTATAATTTTAAAAAGATAATTTTATAATAAATATAATGTAAAAATACGTAATTATTGGCAAATCACATGAGCAAATCTCATAATATTACCGGGTCAAAAAAAAAATTTTATTTGAGTACTGTTCCTGATAGGGTTCTAAAAACGAACCTAATTTTAATTTTTTTTTTTATATATTTTTGCGATATAGTGCAATATAATAGGCATTTTTTGATTTAAAAATTGCATAATTTGCTGTGGCCGTTACTATGGCAATTCTTGAATGTGTGCCAGGTTGATGGCGCATTACCCAGCCACAAAGATATCAGTATATATGTTGTACATTGCTCTTAAATAACGATTATAATGTAGCATACGTAGTTTTAAAAATTATACTGATTAATATGTAACGTACGTGCTTACGTCAATTAAACTCAAGTTTAATATAAGAGTTTAATAAATTATTAGATTGATTATAAAAAAAAATTCTTTGTTATTTTATCTTCCATAATATGGCTTCAAATTCTTCGCTAGTTTTTTTCGTTTCTTTCATTTCAAAGCTTTCAAAAAATCGTTGATGATTACATGAACAATAGAAAAACGAAAGACATATAATGAATCATTCAAAGTATGATCGTTGCCTGGCTATTTTACGAAACCCGTCAAGTAA